CTGTTCCACTACCCATCTCAAGTGTGTTCCTCTTTATTATCAATGTATGTGGGACATACGCCTATGAGAGCGGGTGTGATCTGTGGCCCTAGAAAGCACTATTGTTCAACAAGAGTGCAACATTGCCCCTGGTGATTTAAGGTTTAAGACCAGGTGACTTTCTCCTTAATCAAAGCTGGTTTAAGTATCATCCTGCTTAACAGCAGAAACTCAGACTGGCTGGTTCATAAGTGCCTTCCTGACCTAACCATGATGCTTTCCCAAGATAGACATGGCTTTAGAGCCTTGGCCAAGGGCTGTCTCAGCTGGACTCTGTGGTCTGCAGTACAGTCTTCATGTCTTTTCAGTTAGTAATTCCTTACTAAAAATCCACTGTGTAGAAAACACAGATGATGTATTAAGGTCTTGTTTTCAGTTCTCCATCTATAAAATCTTGTTTCTGGTAAAGGATAATTGTAAATGAAAGAAGATAAAAAATATAGGTACATAGTACATAATGTATGTATTATAATAATAATATATATTAAATATGTATTAAGAGAACCCAGGAAAACAACTTTCCGTGACAAAAACAAGGAGAGCTGGAATAAGGATGTGTTCAGACAATATTAAGTTACAGAGTTGGGTCTTTTTATAGTCCAGTTAGAGAGGTTTATTTCAGATCATGATACATCTAAACTTTAGTTCTGAAAGTAAACCATCTACCAGAAATCACATTTTTAAAAACACAAAATGGTTAACTTAAAACAAGATTCTTAAGATGTGGTCTCAGAACCAGATTTATCTGGGAACTTGTTAGAAATATCAGTCCTCCACCCCACTAAACCCACTGAATCAGGAATTCCTGGGTGGGCCCCAAAATCTTTGTTTTACAAAATCCTATGGGTGATTCTGATGTATGTGAAAGTTTGAGAACCACTGGCTTAGATCTCAAGACAACTCACAAGACCTTAAGTTGCAGGTGACAAGGAGCTGAAAGAAATATCTATAAGATGTAATGTAAAGTAAACCAAAAGAGTCCCGCCTGCTCCCCCACCTGGCCCAAGAAATGCCTGGATTTCTTAAAATTACAGCAACTCTCATTAAGACACTGTCACTAGAAAGCTACTATGCTCATTAATATGCCAACACTTATCATGTATCTTGTTCCTCAGCCATCACTTGACAAGGAACCTGGGTACGGAGGAAAGCAGAATGTGGTATATCATTCAAAGTGCAGGTTCAAAGTGCAGTGAGCCAAGGGGAGTCCCAAGCCCTTATCCTAAAGGGGTAAAAGACAAGCCCGGTGAAACCCTGCAGTGAGGGGAGTCTGGAAAGGCAAGGATGCTTTCAGCAGACTGAGAAAGGGATGCTCAAAGAAACATTTTGTCATCATTACTGTCTTGAGCAGCACTTCACTATCAATTCATTGAAGAGATGGTCTCCCAGGGCCTCTTAGAACAGAACAGTGTCTAAAGTGGAAAAAAATAGTTGTTTGCTACTGATTAGCATTCTACACCCACTTTATCCGTATATGTGACTCACATTCAAACTAAATGTGGATTACTCCAAATCTGGGAATCTCTTCAGCGCCCCTTCATTACAGCACCAGCAGTTTGCTAAGATGAAATCTATAAATTCAGATCCTGACAGTTGCAAGCACCAGTTGACAGAACTTACTTAATAAGTCTTCATAGGGTTCTTACATGTTTCATTTGCAGAGCACATAAATAAGATATTTTACTAACACACACATCAAAAAGTTTGATGTTAACTTTAAAAAACTCTGGTACAGTACTTAATGACTATGACAGTATTTAAAAGCACATACTTTTATATTCAACGAACAAAAACAACATTAAAGTCTCTATTTTCTTATAGCACATTTCCACACTATACAAATGTTAGCATTTTTGTTATACCTTATATTTTTCAAAGGCTTTCTAGATGCCTTTTAAAAACTCAATTAAGGCCCTGGCCAGTGTGGCTCAGTGGGTTGGGTGTCGTCTGGTGCACAGAAAGGGTTGCAGGCTCAATCCCAGGTAGGGGGTGTGCAAGAGGCAACCTACTGATGTCTCGCTCTCACATTACTATTTCTTTCTTTCTCTCCCTCTCCCTTCTTCTCTCTCTAAAAATCCATTTAAAATCTTAAAAGTATAAACTCTCAAGTGAGGGTAAAACTCAACCCACACTTGTTTTTTAAAATTATGACAAAAACATGACTTCATATATAAAATGGAAATGGTAGCAAAGTTTATGTTCAAGTTACCATAGGAAAAGCAGAAGTCATTGATTCTTTGAAGGATTCCTCCAATAGGTAGCAAATGTCCATGTACCACAGTCTCATCTTGTATTGTTCTATCAGCTGACAGGTGACATTTTAACTTCTAACCAACCATAGCAAGATTATTCAAAATTAAGGTTGACATTTTGTCCTTTAACTAGTTCCAAAGTACTGCAGGGGTTTTACTCCTGATGTTACACCATATGTGCAAACTCACAACACAGCGGGCAGGGTGAAGCAGGATGCCTCTGTACTTTGCCATTTTGCTGCTTCCTGTTGTTTTTGGAACAACCCTAACTTTAGCTAAACATAACCCTCTGGGTGAATCATTTTTAGTAAGAGAATCCGCCTGATAGAATGATAGCAGGGTACCCTGACTGTTAACTGCATTTCTGAAGTATTGCCATGTGTGGAATTCATAGAACTCAGTGGTCTGGTATTTTGCAGTCTTTATGAAACCAAACCATTTTATAAAATTTTTCAAAATATAAAATTACTTACCACTTAAGTTTTTATGGATAAAAACCCAAGCAATTATGAAATAAACAACAGGAGGAATTCTTTTTGAAGCGGTTTTGCTTCTGTCAACTGGTTTACCGTTAAATGATAGGAATCAAAGGCAGATTTTCCCAAACCCTTTTCCATTATTCGAGTTATTTTTTCATTCTAAATTTATTATTATCTTGGGTAACAGAATGTATTTACCTACTTGTACCCTCAAGAGGTTCAATTCAGAAAAACCTTCTTAGATTTGACATTCAGAATTTTTTGCCTGATATGAAAAATATATGAGTAATGAAATAATACCAACTGCTAGTAATAAACTATATCCTTAGCTTAATGTCAGTAATACTTACCAAGCCAGAGTTCATGAAAAGCAAATACAAAGGAAAATCCAGTCCCTTTAATATATATATATATATATATTTTTTTTTTCCCCACCAGTCTTTCTCCATGAGTTTTTCTGTCAAATAAAACATTTAGTTCTATATAATCCAAAAAAATCTATTCATAGTTTAGAGAGGGAAGCATAAATCTCATGGGTCTCAGATTCACATTCTGTTGCCTTCCTTCATTATATGTTTAAAGATAATCAATAAAAAATGATTTCTCTTTGTAAGCATTTTCCTGTTCTGCCAGAAATAATAGCAGTCCCTGCCCTAAAATGAAGGGGGGAGGGGAGGTAAGTAATATTTACCATAAGAGGAGAAAAAGAAACTGCCTAAGCATTTTTCCTGAGCCAAGTGAAACAAAAACAGCCAATCAAGTTTATTCCTCACTAAAAAATGTTTAAATATTCCTGGTATTAGTTTTATTCTTAAAATCCTTGGTATCAACAAGTTTTCAAACTCTGGATTTATATTACAACTTTCAACAACAAACTCTTTCTGTTTCCTACCAGATTAACTGTATTTCTGTATGAATATACATATCACATGCAAGACTTGTGAACACTGAAGTAATAAAGCAAAGCGAGTTAAGGCCCCCAAATGGCCTTCTAAAGCTGAGTGAGATGCAAAGCCATAGAAAAAAACAACAGAGAAAAACAAAGTTACATCTGGTAAGGAAATAAAGAACCACAAACAACTCTATCTCTTGTTTCAAAACACACTTTTTGGCACTTGCATTTTTAGCACGAAAATTTTCCTACTTAAATGTAACTTGAAAGTTCTATGTTAAATAATCTAAATTAAGCTGTTGAGGTTTCTCCTATATGTAGACTCTGCCTCAGAACTATTCATTTTTAATTGTTTTCTTCTGAATTTTTCACAAAACTCTGTATGGACAAATTAAATAGTAACAGACTCTTACTTTGTAATGAAGCTACAAATACATTTTACACATTTTCCTGGCTTTTTCCCTTCACTCTGTATTATCTAAGAAGGTTGTCATATTTCAGCAGGGTGGATTATAAATCAGACAAGTTCAGCCCTTCAGGTTGAAAAATGGAGGTAAAAGACACAGCGGAAAATATATAAAGTTTAATTAAAACCATATGACCAGAGATATTGAAGCAGTACTTGTTGGAGGAAACCCAAGTAAAAATCAAACCTTTTCTGGTGTTAGTGACATTATCCAGTCCATTTGGGACAAGCACACATCATTTGTTAAATATTCACTTTTTTCTTTTTTCCTTAACAGCAAGAGTACCTAGGGAAATGAAATCCTAACAAGACTACAGCTATTTTTGTAGCATAGTGAAATGCATAGTTGTTAACGTAAAACTGACCTTACTTTAAAACAGTAATCACTTATTTAGAAATATAATTTAAAATTGGGTAAGGGTAATTTCACCAAAGAGTATCAAAGACTTATCATGACAATGTTGAATCAAAAACCTTTCTACTTTTCTATGCTGTCTTCATGATTAAAGACCTGAGGATTCCAGTAAGACATAGATAATCTAATTGCTTACTGTTGAACATAAGAAGCGATGGAATGCAAACTGTCTCTCCTACTATATTATAAATGTCACTGCCTCACATAGGTGGTACTTAGCAGGCTAATGATGCATATATGTCTAAGGATGTACAGAAATTTAAGAACTCTCCATGTTGTAAAGCAATTCCAGTAAAAAATCTCTGACACTGGTAGTCTATCACCAAAGCCATTTCTTGTCTATTTCTCCAGAGCATTTCAAGTGTCAGTTATAATAATCTCAATAGACAACTGGAATGTAATTTTCAATATAACTTTGGGATTCTAGTAAACAACTCAAATGTAGCAAGTCACTTACCCCCCAGAAACTGAATTCCTCCAGCGACTCTTCCCACTGTCCTGGAGATGAGCTCAGACACACAGCAACCCATGAGAGCAGTGAGAGCCACCAGGAGGAGAAGGCCACAACCCAGGCCTGTCACGATGGTACAGATCCTCCATTCTGCACTGGGGATGCCCTGGAAAGAGGCATAGCGCCCACATTCTTCCACCATCACCATCATCTGCCGATTCTCATCGTGTACAGGATATGAGCACCTCCGGAAAGTACCAAAGGACACAGGCTTGCCCAGTTGGGATCCCCAGAGCCAGTAAGGCATAAAGAACCCCACGCAGGAGGTAGCAGCAGAAAGAAATGAGAGCAAAGCCCAGATCACCCCGGTACACGTCAGGCTGGATGCCATCTTTCTCCAGATAGGGCAATGAGGACCTAAAGTAACTGTTCTGGGGCTGTAAGAGTAAGTGAAGATGTGAAACCACCAAGGACTGGGACCTCAGGTAATCCACAGTTCTGTAATGGGGGGAGTGTCTATGAACAGAATGGATCTTCACTCTCACTGGGCCTCAACTTCACATCCTCTGTAGTAAGGGTGATAATCCCTAGTAAAACAAAAAAAATATTAAGAGGTTAATGTTTTTAGTGAAGTGATAACACCAATTCAGTTTGTCTACAACTTTTAATTAATAAACATTCAAACTTGCCACAAGACTTCAAAAAGAGGAAGAACTTAATTTTCTCTATAAATGTCTCTTTAGTTCAAGCCTTTTCATTTCTTGATCTACAAATGCTCCCAAATTAACTCAGCCACTTAAAAAAAAAAAATGCATGACTTCTATTTGTGAGTGAATTCATTTCAGATACTCACATTGAAAGTTATGTAGCATTTTTTATTGACAGTAAACATAGTTTCAAAATTATAATAAGACGAACCATATCATCATTTGTCTACTTGGTTTGCAAGTTCATGCTCATAATTTGTAGTAACTGTTCTGTGTCTCTTTAGGTATATTAAGTCTCTGCATGAGCCCAAACAAAATAATTAAGATATTTTCACAAATGCAGAGCATCATAAATTCAACAAACTTTATAGGCTGTCTAGATACATACAATGGATGGCGCTATTAAGCACTCCCAGTACTCATTCAATGGCATTTGTGAATCCCTGTAATCTTTACTATCCTCTCCTAGAGTAAATGACAGAAAGCCCGTGTATGACTTACTTTCATAACTTCAATTTTGATTCATTGGTTCCAATAAAATTTTTGGTAATATCTCTCCAGTTCAATGATTGTCATGTCCAATCTAAAAAGTAATCCATACTTTCCAGCACTCTCCATCAAACCCCAATCATTCAAATGCTGCACATGCATTTGACTACCACCCCTCCCTCCCTTTCAAAAGAGGTTCTGAACCATCTCCCACACTTTCCATAAAGAAATAAATACAGAAGCACAAAGCCAAAGCACCCCGGAGTTCCATTCCTAGAACTCTCAACTCCAGCTTTCAGAGTCCACAGCAAATGCTCCCTTTCCTCACCTCTCCTCTTCCCAAGTCTGGCCCCTTGGTTTTCCTCTCCACCCGCTGCCCTAAGTCCAGTCCAGTGTGTCACTCCGGGGGAGCTCAGACTACTTTTTTTTTTTTTTAATCTTGTCAGTTGCAGTTAGCGTCAGCGTTAACAACTAAAGTTGACTGTCTGGGCCATGAGACTGGGAAGACGAAGGGGGGTGACATGGGGGGAGGAAGGCCATCATCTAGAGCTGGGGTAAGGCCAAGACAAGCCCATAATCAGCCCCCCTGCAATGGCCTCGCCCACCCACCCCCACCCCTGAGGACACATAGGATCCTTCAATCCAAAAAGAGCGAGAGAAGCATTTTCCAGCCGGCCTTTGAAGGGAGGGGACAAGGATGAGAAGGCAGCAACGCCCAGAGGCACACGCCAACAGCAGACGCGGCGGGCTGGGAAGCCGAGCCAGCTCCCCAGCTCAGGAAGTCCGGAGCCCGGGAGCAGCACAACTCCGGCGTCCGGGGAAGAGGGGGACAGGGAGAGAAAGGAGGGAGCCCACGCCCGAGCGGCGACCGAGCTTCTACTCACGTGGCTGGCGGGCGGCGGCCACCTTCTCTTCCCGGGCCGGGGCGCATACACAACTTGCTGTCTTTCCCGGGCGGAACATCCACAGCCGAGAAGACCGTCCTTCCTTCTTTGCTGCTGTCCCTAACAGCCACAGACAGCCCTGGCCGGACTTGGGTGAAAGATCAGGGCCGGCTCCAGAGGCTCTCCAGGAGCACGGGCTGCGCCGCCACCAGTGGAGCCCGCGCTCCTCGCGTGTCTCCGGCAGCGGCTCGGGCGGAGCGCGGGGCGCCAGGGCTCGCACGCAGATGCACAGACCTCTCTTTGGCAGGCGAGGCACGCACCGCCTCCTCCCTCCACTGCCCGGCCCTCCTCTTTTCCCTGTTCCCTCCCCTCGCCCCGCGGACCCAGAGCAGACAGACCCGGGAGGAGGCGCGGTCCGCAGGAACCTTTCTGGTGCTTGGGGCTGGGAGGGGCGCACCCTTCTGTCCACTGGAGTCCAAGCCCATCTCTGGGGGTGATTTTCGCGGCTCCCCCAGTCCCGAACCCCCTCTTGCTCTCCTTTCATTGCGGCTCTTTCAAAAGGGAGAGCGGTGGAGGCAGACAGACCCAGAAGTAGGGGAGAAAGTTGCTAGTCTTCTGGGGTGTTCGAGAAGGGACACGGAACAAGAGACACGTTTCCTGTTTGCTTTTGTAGGTCTGGTATTCGGGGTTACAGCTCCAGTGTCCCGCCACCCTTAGGACTTGTAAATGAGAATGGGGGCCTTCAAGATTGAATAAATTGATCCTTTTGAGCTTTGAGGACGCTTTTCGGATGTGGTCACTTTGGAAGGCGGTGAACAATGTGGATTTGGGAATGAGAAATGAGTAGGAGAGACCAAGGCTCAGGGTTTCAGGCTGGCAGCCTTCTTTCTAGTCAAGCCAGGGAAGGAGAGACTTCCAGCAAAAGAAATTTTCTCCCAAGACTCTCTCTCTTTGGAAACTTCTTTCAAGGCCTGGCATTCTCGCTCTAGCTCTCCCTCCTTGAACCTCCTCCCCACGCCACTCCCCCTTCTCCTCCCTTCCATCTCTCTAGTCAATCTTGTAATCAATACCAACATTGGATTTCTTTTCTAAGAAACAACTGGTTTTTATTTGCCTTCCCAGTTTTGAGGGTGTTTTGCTTGCTTGCATGCTTGTTATTAGCGCTGGCCCCTTTGGAAGTTTAGAACTACATTCAGTAGAAGACTATGGAAGTCTCTGCTGAAGACAGTATTTTAAGAAACGTGCCATCTGGGAATAGCAGTTTGTGACGCAGATACTTCCCCAGATATAGTTTGTGAAGTGCTTCTTCAAAGTAATTGAAATTAATGAGTAGGTATATATTGCATAGTAAAATTTCAGGTTGCTCCATTTTATTTAGCTAAAATGGTGTACTTTTCTCCACAATTACAGCTGGAGATGTGTGTTCTTTCATTATTATTTTGAAAAGCTTTGAGTATTGATCTTTTCAAGATCATAGACCCTTTTAAGAATATGATGAAACTGATAAACTTCCCAGGAAGAAAACAAAACGCACCTACATATTAAGCTTTATCACGGTGCTTCTCAAAGGAGAGAAGAGAGATTATGTTCCTCATGGGACATTTGGCAAGTTCAGAACGTGATTTTTTAAAAAGACTTTTTATTGGTTTTTAGAAAGAGAGGAAGAGAGAAACACTAATGTGAGAGAGACTGGCACCCCACATACACTCTGAGTTGAGCTCACAACCTCCTACCTCTCTCCCCTGCATGTGCCATGACAGGGAATCGATGAACAGGATGACTCTCAACTAAGCCACATTGGCCAAGGCTCAGTCCTCACTTTTTGATTATCATGATCAGGAAGGTGCTACTAGTATCTAGTGGTTAGAGGTCAATGGTGCTTCTAACCACCTGCCATGTAAAGGACAGCTCCTCAAAATTATCTGGTCTGCAATGTCATACTGCCATAGTTGAAGAACCTGTTTTAATGAAATGTCAGATAGGTCCCTGTTTTCCTGCAGCACAGCCATGAATCCCAGATTTAAATGATTCAAATTGTCTTGTAAAAAACACTAGATACTGAGCTTAGTGACAGCATAGTAACTGACTTCTAGTTATGTACCACATCTTAAGCTATTACACAGAACCTTCAGATCTGCATAATGTGAAAGTAAAAGATACGACTGTGTGAAAACTAAATAATGGTTATGAGATTCAGACTCTCCCTGCACACAAACCGCTGGGGAGATTGGTCTAGGACCTCTCTTATGCTTGGAGGAGTTTTAAGCACTGAGATGGGCGGCTGGGATTAAGTCCTTGCAGTGTCCATCACAACACCAACTTTATGTAATAGGATCCTTTATCTAGTACTCAAAAAAGAAGACAAGAAAATAACTATGAGAAAGGTGCAATTATCATTTTACAGAGAGATTGATATCTTACAGCTAAAAAGTAGGCTTTAAAAAATGTTTTATTGTCTGCATTCTATTAAACAGAGTAAATGCTATTGAAGAGATTCTGCCTAAGATGAAAAATAGATAGAGGAAGAGACTTAATTTTTTGTTGTTGTTGTTAAGTCTGTTAGGAAGAAATATCAGTTATTTGTGGAATTGTGGTGTGTTATATACTAGGATTCAAATTTCTAACTTAGATGAGTGAATTTGGACAAATGGTGCCCGTTTGAGCCTGAATTATTTAGGTTGTAAAAGGAGGCTGGAATAGACCATTTTTCATATTCTTCTACCTCATGACTTTCAGCATAACTAGATAGGTGCTTTTATATTTGAGAAGGAGTATAAGGATCATCTAACTTTATTCAAGTACATAATTTTACAGATGATGAAGCAGAGGTTCAGAACCTTTCCAGTGTCTTACCCAAAGTTGAGCCTAGAATCCATGCACCCTAATTTCTCTTTTTATTCCACCATGTAATTATCTTCGAAACTATAAAATCTTCTGAATTACTCCTTAGGCTGTTGTATGCATACTTTATAGGCTAAATACTTTATATCTTTAAAACACTTGCATTAAATTTGCACCTTCAAAGGGTCTTTAAATTACTTTCCAGCCAGAAGTTCCCACACAGTAGATACCATTTATACCTCTTATTCTAGGTTTGAGTTTCTGTATGTTTGGAAAGTAGCCTCACTGAGTCACATGATGCGATTCATGAATGTAAAAGCATGCGGAAAGCTGTAAAGCATCTATAACAACACTTTTGGTTTGCTACCCAATATTACTTCTCAACCCACTCTTCCTTGTTCACTGGATACTTTTCGGTGCCATGTGACCTTGTTCTAGCCATTGAGTCTGCTGAGGAGGCCTCTGGGGAAGATTGCATTCTCTGATAAAAGGAGGGGGCAGGCGAGAACAGTTTTCTCACCATCCTGGCTGCCTTTGAACACATTCTTGAAGGATGAGATGTTTAGAACTGTGGCAGCCTTCTTGTAATCATGAGAGGAATCGCATAGACATAACCCCAATACTGTGGAGCTACACATCTCTTTTTGAATTTTTTGAAAAACAATTATAGAATGATATATGGTTTAAGTTATTGTTATTTGAATTTTCTGCTTTTAATATCTGAAAGAATTTCTAATTGATGAAGCACTGTACAGATAAGATGAGCAGCTGGGATTAAGTCTTTGCAGTGTCAGTCAATGACATGAAATACCCATTAGTTAGCAGTGTTTCCCAGTGCTTGGCAATAAGAGATAGGTACTTAATAATTCAACATTTGCTGTGGTAATTAATGAGTAAATTAACATCACTGTGATTATTAACCTTGTTCTAGTGCAGCGTACAGAGTGGGCATTTAACTTTTTGAAAAATGGGGTATGCTATGTGAAATTAGGGAAGAAGTATGACAGTGGAATATATGCAATATGTACCATGGAATCAATCACTTTTGACCATTGGAGAGGGTTTAGAAAGGGACTTCTTTAGTTCACATTTGTGGCAAATACTGTGATTTGGCTGATACAATGTCCATTTCCAGCCCATTTCTTCCACATCCTTGTCTTCAACAGAGGCAGCAAAAGCTAAAATTTTCATTTTCCAGCATCTCTTGAAGTTTAAGTTGCCATGTGATGGTGCTAGCCAATAAGATAAAAGTGGAGGAGTGTTGGTACTGTCGCATCCACTTCCTCTTTCTTCCAGCCTGAATTTAAAGTGGATGTGATATTACCTTGAAGCACCAAAGCCATCTTTCTCAATCATGAAGTGACATGGATGAAGACAAAAGCCAGCACACAAAGAATAATGACATAGAATGGTGGAAAGTGTCTGGATACTTGGTATCTTTATTAGGCTGCTGCATTATCCACAGACATCTCTTGAGTGAGAATAATAACCGTAGTTTTTAAAATCACAGTTGTTAGCAATTAAAACATGCCTGCTATGCTATTCAAACTAACTATGCTGCTCTAGCCAGTTTGGTTCAAAGATTAGAGCATCAGCCCTTGGACCGAAGGGTTGCAGGTTCAATTCCCAGTTAAGGGTGTGCATCTGGGTTGTAAGTTGTCTCTCTCACATCGATGTTTCTCTTTCTCTCTCCCTCCCTGCTATTCTATCTAAAAATCAATGGAAAATATCCTCAGGTGAGGATTAAGTAACTCACTAACTCACTCACTAACTGTACTCTTACAGTCCAGAAGTCAGCACTGCAGTAAACAGTAAAGTGGATAGACACAAAACATGAGGCACTAACCAGAACAAAGAGAGGACAGAATAATGCCAAAGAAGAATTGATTCTCCAGCAAATGGTGGCTGTGGTGGGTGTTCATTGTCTCCAACACATATTAGAGAAGATAGAGCTTCCTGAATACAGACCAGGAAGAAAGAGATTCAGGAAGGTATAAGGTAGAAGAGAACTAGAGGATAACAAGAGAGACTCTGAATGGAGCCAGGGAAGAAAGGTTTTCCTTGACCTGCTGGCTGTGGAGCTTCTCAGTTTCTTTTTTTTTTTTTTTTTAATTTTTTTTTTTTTATCCTCACCCGAGGATATTTTTCCATTTTTTGTACAGATAGAGTGGGAGGGAGAGGGAGGAAGGGAGAGAGAGAGAGAGAAACATCGACGTGAAGGGACACATCGAGTGGCTGCCACCCACACGACCAACCAGGGCCGGGGACAAACTGCAACCGAAGTACGTGCCCTTAGCAGGAACCGAACCCGGGTCTCTCCAGACCGCAGGCCGACGCTTTAACCGCTGAGCCAAACTGGCCAGGGCTCAGTTT